TTTTAACCTCCCACAACCAAAAAAATCCAAACGCTTCTTACAGTGCTACAGTATTTCAGTAATGACTTTCTTCTTCTTCGTTCTTAATTTTACTTTTGGAAGGGATCCCCTTTCAACACAATTAAGGATACGTGTCAACTGGTTATGCGCAATTGAGGCCATTGACTCCGATTTTAGCCTGCTTTCCTTTCTAGATTTGTTTCGATAGCCTTTGTCCAACCAAGAACAAATTACAACGCAGCAGTTGTTTGATTTTGGAGTTATCTTTCCTGGAAGAGTGGCTGTCCCCAGCTAACGAGCCTCACCTGCCCGAGTCAGTAATAAATAATTTGAATGGTCGTTAGTAAAATTAGAAACACAAATCGTTTTAATTGGCTTCACTGAGATAGCGGCTAGACTGGGACATAAATAAAAGTTCTAAACATTGGCGCAATTAACTGTCTGTTCTTACAGGATTTTAAAATGTTCATTCCTTTATGAAATGCTTGATTTTCAGGGTTAAATTACTATTTGTTTTTATGTAACAAATTACATTTATTTAAATATTTAGATCATAGGAAGTCACTTTACAGAATACAATTTTTATAAGATCTTAATATCTTTTAATAAAAGCCGACATTTGTAGAGGATAATGAACATTCAATAAGGGCACAATATAGTAGAAGCTTAATGAAATAAAAATAAAAAAAAACCCATTGCTTTTAAATGCCTTTTGAAAGCTTCTGAATTTGATGGCATTAGTAGCTCTTCGCTGAGTGACATTTTCGTATAGCTAAATTCGTTAAGCAAACAAAAAATAGACGCTAATTGTTAATTAGATACCGTTTTCTCATGCGTTATACGTTTTTATTGATTTCTATAATTCGATTAAAAAATTTAAAGAATGCCGGCACCTTGCAAACAATGAAAACTTTAGCTTTATACCTTCATGGAAGATAATGTTGTTTAGGTAGACTTTAATGGTGTTTAATTCACACATTAAGTGAAGCTTCAAAGTGGTAAAACAAATTGTAATCTAACACAGAAAAATAGAGTGTAATGATTTATAGAGTAGATGAAGTAGAGTTCATGTTTCTTGACCTCCGACAAAAAGGGGATGGTTTGGTTAACGCTATGCCTAGCCACCTTAATTTACACTACGTGAGTCAGGTACCCATCACATATGGGTGGACACGGGGACGCCATGCGGTATCACATCTCCAAATTTGCGAATCTCTATAGTAGAAACTATTATTTATGTCTATAAATCGAAGTAAATAATGCAATATTGCTATGTATATGTATTGTTAATGGACTTGATACTAAAATATCTTCATATAAGTACTCCAAAACACTTTCAGATATCTGTCATTGTGAAAGTCATTCGAGATTTAATTAAATGAGATCAAAATTAAACTTAATTCAATAGAGTTACTTTTAAACTATACAATTATTTGTAAGATTATAATCTATTAGTTCGACTTTTCTTTTATAGAGAAACCTTTAATACTCTTACAATAAATCATTATGTATATCGATTGGATTTTTAAAATTCTATTATAACATAAGTTAGTTCTACGTGTTAATTGTATTTTCGTATAGGCAATTTCCAGTTTGTGGTTTAAGGTCTGAATGTGTTAGCCTTTTGGCAGTGTCTAGGCATAAAATCGTTTCATTCGCTTGACTGGCTTCCCATAATGTTCATTGGTTTAATATTGATTTTCTTCTATACATGGACCTTACGTCAGAGTAACACAGTTACGACAGCACAGTGCTATGTACTGGGACAGTGAACAATCTACCCTCTGTGTTAAAACGTAAAACACGATGGTGTATTTCTAGACAACAAAAAGCTATAGATTAAGTCATACTGTTTATTTAGATCTATCAAGTCAAAACTGAGTTGTAAGATTTTCACACGAGAAATAACCTTTGGGTTATGAATTGTGAATTCTAAAATGTTCACTTCTTTAGACAACGTCCAACAGAAAAGTTGTTTTCTCAACTTTGTGTTCAATTAAAAAGTGTAGCAGTTTGTGAGAACGGTGAGGGTGGAGGTTGACAGAAATATGACTTAGTATAACACAATTTGTGTTTAATCAGGTTAATTGTATAGCAGTATATAAACTATTTGAGCCTTTTTGCTTTACATGGTTTATTTAATTTACTCAAGTTACAAAATTTAAATAATTATTGATTTTTTGCACATAATTGTAAATATTGTAATACATAAAATCAATCCGTAATGCCAATCGATTTCAAAGAGTCAATCAATCCGTATTCAATACCAATGCGAGTTGAGATAGCGCAATTTATAGTTGGTGACATCAAAACACCCCCCTCAGACGAATCGCTATTGATCTATATCTTTTTTTGGTTGTGAAATAAGAGCTTTCTGCATGCTTAAATATTTTTTTTTTAAATTCCAATCGATAAAAATGGAGACTATGATTTTAGCTTGTGCTGTTTTCATAGTCTATCAAGATTGAATAGACTAACAGTTGGTATGGATATTAAGTTAAAATAGCTATCATTTAAGCAACGTAGGTTCTTATAATTGACTAGTTAGTTTTTCACACGTTGAGAAAATGTATAAGACGTCATAATTTCGCTTTATGTTTTCAACAACACAATATGTTGTATAGCTAAATGTTATTTCTTAAACATATTTAACCAAGTTTTTTGTTTCAACAACATTACACAAAAATGGAAGATAAACTGTATGCGTCATCGAATGCGTGTTGACGTATGATTTTGTGTGTAGGTGTATGTGTATGTAATGTGTATGCGTAAGTGTGTGTTTTCCTTAGAAATTTAAGCATGTACGTGCATTTGCAATGGGACGTTAACGCACGTAGACGTGGATATAGATGAGATGTCATTGAAATAGGCTGGAGTCTAAAACGTCACTGACCTCTACCTTTGTTAGCTTGTACTCGTTTAGAGTCTACCTACACTTCATGGTACAGATTGGAAATAGTTTCAAATCGATTTTGGTCTATACATGAATCTGACGTCGGGATAACCCGCTGTAGGATAGCACTGAGCTACGTAATGGAACAGTGAAATATATCCCATGTGTTAAAACACAAGTCACGTGATTTTAACAATTCTAGAGAATATGCTAAAGATTATATACAGTTGTATATCGCTCAAACTAGTAAACAACTATTTAAAAGAGAAACAATTGTTGGTTTCAGAGCCTTAAGCTCTATAGTATTCACATACATATCAACTTCTAATTGAGACTTAACAATAGCTTTCCTCAAATGTTTTTTAAATCTAAAAAGTGTCGTGGTTTGTAAAACAAAAAGTGAGTGTTGGGCTGTCTACGAAATATTGCGTGTTATAATTCAATGCAAATATTATGTTAAATATGGTCGAATGTTGCTAAAAAAAGCATAATTGATGAATATCTGCTTGATAATCCACTCGAGTTTGGCTGGAGCAATGTATGATCTATTTCAACACAACAACACACCAATCTCTCTGTGGTTGTGAAACAGGAGCTTTCTGCACGCTTGAGTAATTTGTTAGGTCTATTAGATTCGATGTGCGGCCTGTGATTTAAACCATTGAATTTGAATCACCTTGGACTGTTTTTAAATCTCATTAAGGTTGTCTTAAGGTGGAATTGACGCAATGATTGTATGCGGTATGCGTTTAGTCAAAACAAACCTCGTATTTTTTTATTAGACAAAACATATCTACGGTACTATTCTCAAATATTCTAGATGTTGTTTTATATAAGGTATGTTCCTATTATTAAGTAGTTAATTAATCATTTCAGAAAATATATAGACATTTATTATTTAGAAATGGCTTCCCAAAATATGTAATCATATAATTATGATATCGAGTTAAACTTCCCTTAATGACATAAGGGATGTTTATTTAGAACGGATACACGTAAATGTTTAAAATCATTTGGCTTGTTTAGTAGCTATATATTTATCACCCACATGGCATTTGTTTAAAAGTAGGCCTTCGTTATTTTTAGTTTACGCCTGTAATAAGTTGTTTTTAACTTCTCGTATATACGAAGTATAGAGAAAATCTTGTAATCGTGCAAAAAAAAAAATCGAGATTTTTACAAATCTCGACGTTTTACACCTCACTGATACGGAAAAACATAATTTTGCAATCTTGTCCGTATGTATGTGTGTGTGTGTATGTGTGTGTGTGTGTGTTTGTCTGTCTGTGTGTAAACATGATAACTTGAGTACCGTTACAGCTAGGTTGATGAAATTTCATATATAAGTATTTTATCAAAATCGTAGATACCTACCGACTTTTGAGCGATTTCCAATAACCGGAAGTGGTACTTTTTCTACTTTGAATTTTTCAAAATTCTTTTTTTCTACTAGATTTTATTCTATTTTTAAAAGTTTAAGTAAAGAAAAATCATGACTATATTTCGAGTTGCCATCCAACGTAGTGTTAAAATAGAATATTCGAGAAAGTTTAGGGGAAATCACTCCCGGTTTATTAAAAAATACTTTAAAAAATTAATTAGACAAAAAACTTCCATTGTTTGTTGTTCTCTAATTGAAATCTGCTACAGTACATAAAGAATATGTCGCGATATTACGTAGCTCACCACAACAACTTACGCAACTAATCCTTCTAAATTTAGTCAGAAAAACATAATCCTGCCTTTATATTTCAATAAGCACAACATATTAGCTTAATGTTAATAACATTTTTAATTTTTTTATAAACTCAGTTAAACAAGTCAACAGGATCAAACTAAAGAATCATACAGCGAAAAGAAACATTTCTTTGCTGTAACGGCTAGAAAGAGCAACGAAAGTGCCTGATCATTCAAACCTGATACTTTTTTTAAAATGCTGGTTATAAACTCAAAAAATAAAGATAAAGTTAGCAGACTATTGTTTTAAACAAATACTCGCTAACTCTGTATAAAATCATGTACAAAGTGTAAAGCAAAAAGACATAAAGATTCAAAATTTAAATGTATCTGATGATAGGACTGTTTTTACATATTAAAACGCTACAAAATGGATTTTTATGAAAGTAATGTACAAAAAGCTAAAGAAAATTTAACCATGAGTGCTGTTAAGGTTAACGTTAAAGATATAGTTTCATTATGGGAGGCTTCTCGCTGCGGAGACAACAAAAATGTAGAAAGTCTAATCGCAAAAGGGTGTGATGTTAACGCTGTAGATAATGAAGGAAGAAGTGCATTAATGTTGGCTTCTTTAAATGGACACAATAAAATTGTAGATCTGTTAATTAACAAAGGAAGTAATGTTAGCGCTGTAGATAATAAAAGAATGAATGCATTAATGTTGGCTTCTCTAGAGGGACACAATAAAACTGTAGATCTGTTAATTAACAAAGGAAGTGATGTTAACGCTGTAAAAAATAATGGAATGAATGCATTAATGTGGGCTTCTTTAAATGGACACGATAAAATTGTAGATCTGTTAATTAACAAAGGAAGTGATGTTAGCGCTGTAAATAATAATAGAATGAATGCATTAATGTTGGCTTCTCTAGAGGGACACAATAAAACTGTAGATCTGTTAATTAACAAAGGAAGTGATGTTAGCGCTGTAGATAATAAAAGAATGAATGCATTAATGTTGGCTTCTCTAGAGGGACACAATAAAACTGTAGATCTGTTAATTAACAAAGGAAGTGATGTTAACGCTGTAAATAATAATGGAATGAATGCATTAATGTGGGCTTCTTTAAATGGACACGATAAAATTGTAGATCTGTTAATTAACAAAGGAAGTGATGTTAACGCTGTAGATAATAATGGAATGAATGCATTAATGTTGGCTTCTATCAATGGACACAATAAAACTGTAGATCTGTTAATTAACAAAGGAAGTGATGTTAACGCTGTAGATAATGAAGGAAGGAATGCATTAATGTTGGCTTCTATCAATGGACACAATAATAAAACTGTAGATCTGTTAATTAACAAAGGAAGTGATGTTAACGCTGTAGATAATGAAGGAAGGAATGCATTAATGTGGGCTTCTTTCAATGGACACAATAATAAAACTGTAGATCTGTTAATTAACAAAGGAAGTGATGTTAACGCTCTAGATAATAAAGGATGGAGTGCATTAATGTTTGCTTCTTTCAATGGACACAATAAAACTGTACATCTGTTAATTAACAAAGGAAGTGATGTTAGCGCTGTAAATTATAAAGGATGGAATGCATTAATGGGTTCCATGACAAATGATCTCAGGACAAATGATCTCAGACAAAATATCTCAGACAAAATATCTCACGGACAAATGATCTCAGGACAAATGATCTCAGGACAAATGATCTCAAGGACAAATGATCTCAAGGACAAAAGATACCAGGACAAAATATATCAGGACAAATGATATCATGGACAAATGATCTCAGACAAAATATCTCAGACAAAATATCTCACAGGGAAATTTTAATAGTATGTACGATGCTTTTAGTTGATTTGAACTTTTTTTTTATTAACAGTTAATATCGGTTGTTTACTTTTTTACGCATAATAATTGTGAATAAAATGATTTGTTAAACCTAATAAGCCATCAAAAGATTTATTAAACTTTGTCGTAGCATTTGATTCGAAAAAGTAAAAATTATAACAAACTTACTCCTTTAGCCTGAAATTTATAATAAATGATAACGTATAAAACAAATAAAGTAATGGTTGTTATACAACATTAAGGTTCAAAACACACGAAATATTTCTCAAAAAAAATTCATAAAAAACGTTTTAATAACAAGCTTTTATGTAATGATGCACTAAAAAGTAGAAAATAAATTATAGACTACTATTTAAATAACTATAAAGAAAAGCGTGGGTCACTTTAGTATCTATTGGATACCTTTACTAATGTTAAGGAAGACACCCACGCTTTTCTTTATAGTTATTTAAATAGTAGTCTATAATTTATTTTCTACTTTTTAGTGCATCATTACATAAAAGCTTGTTATTAAAACGTTTTTTATGAATTTTTTTTTCAGTACTTTACATGTTTTATCTACAATAGAGTTACATGACTAAAAACCATTGCGCGCCTACTGAATATCACGTTCAGTAGGCGCGCAATGGTTTTTGAACGCAGCCATTACGTGGTCGTGATGGCGCAGCTATTGATGACGCGTGTGGTGTGGTTGGCTAGACATGCCTACTAATTCGGTCCAAATTTTAATTAATTCATAAAAAATCAATTAGGCATCCAATTAAGTCAAATTTAGTTTCAGATTGCATTGTCTTCATGTCTTGACCCACGTGCCAACTGTGAATCGTGTCGGTCAAGTAGAACTGTCCGAATTTTCACTCCTGCGTTTCCGTCTAGACTGACGACTGACGACAGACTGACGAGGAAGTGAGTTAAATAAAAGCTTGTAAAACGTGAATGGGTCTTCAGGTTCGTAACGTTAAACTATTGTTTTTATTGCATCATCAGCACAAACATAACGTTTACGTTTCTTTGCTGGCAGGTACATCGTTATGATCACACCTCTTCAATACTATGTGATCATCTATTGTGTGAATTCTTGCTCGACATGTTCGCTGTTTGTTTAAATAAGCATTTGTAACCTGATCACTAAGGTGTGACCGACGCATAACTATTGACTGTTGATGCTAGTTGTATTGTCCATGGAGAGCGGATGTTTCTCCCTTAAGGCATGTCTCTGCCATCAAAGCGGGCGGCCACCTTGATACGAAGGTGTTTCTTTATTGTTATTTCATCCCCTTTGATCTAGTTTCGTCCATCTGATGTGGTAGGATTGTCTCATATTTGTCAAGCCAACCTACGCTGTCTATCGAAAAAAATCTTTAATCTTCGTATACTATATTGCTAATACTAACTTTAAAATGTTTAGTGCAAAATGACAAATTTATACGCCAAACATTTCTTACAATTATTATATAGGCCTATAAACAATATTAAACATAATAAACAAAACCATATGACAATCAATAAAAAAAATTCAGATCAACTAAAATCATCAACTACACTATTAAAATTTAGGTGTGAGATATTTTGTCTGAGATATTTTGTCTGAGATCAATTGTCCGTGGTATCATTTGTCCTGATATATTTTGTCCTGGTATCTTTTGTCCGTGAGATCATTTGTCCTTGAGATCATTTGTCCTGAGATCATTTGTCCTGAGATCATTTGTCCGTGAGATATTTTGTCTGAGATATTTTGTCTGAGATCATTTGTCCTGAGATCATTTGTCCTGTCACCCATTAATGTTGTCTTCCCAAAATGGACATGGTAAAAGTGTTGATCTGCTAATTAATAGAGGGAGTGATGTTAACGCTGTAGATAAAGATCGAAAAAATTCATTAATGTACGCTTGTGACTTTTCATCTTTAAAACAACATATTGTTGAATACTTAAATGCAAATAATGTTTTTATTACATATTTTCTAATTGCGGAATGGAAGGCTAAAACATATGAAACCAAAGACGTTAAATGTAATAATTATATTAGTACTCAAGCTGAAGTTTTAATTGGCAAAGAAAAAGCTGCTGAGCTATTGATTAAATCAGGAGCTGATATAAACGTTATCGACACTAATGGATGGAATGCGTTGATGTACGCTGCCAGAAGTGGAGCTAAAGATACAGTTATGCTCTTAGTGAAATCTGGATGTGATGTTCTAGCCGTAAATAAAGAAGGAGACAATGCATTAGCTGTAGCGTCAAAGTATGGCTACAAAGATATTGTTGAGTGTTTGAGCTCCTTGTACAACTCAAATGTTGTTTCGGTAAGTAATGAGAATGAAAAAGATATAATATAATTATGTGTATACTATATACTATTTTTCCTATATTCGTTTAAAGATTGCCCTACACAAAGGATACGGTATGACATTAGGATGTATAAAACGAATAAGGGCTAGTACCCAGCGTCCTGTTGTCAGTTTAACCAATAGTTCCGAATAGCACTTTATTATTGACATTGTAAAACATCAATTAAAAAAATATATATTTACTGAGTACGGTCAATGTTTAGTAAGCCTAAGATTAATTTTAACTGATGTAGATAAAAAAACAATGTTTACCAAAGTAAAGATAAGGATTTCAAATTCAGTTTTAATATTTTTGCAAAAGCATGTCGTCACATTTTCTGACCCCCCCCCCTCCCCTTCCCCCCTTCCCCCCACCCTCTACTTCACTTTTCATAAAATTCTGAAACGGCAGTTATGGACACCCCCGAAAATAGCGCGAGCGATGAAATAAACCGACATTGAGGTCATGAACCCGATGAGGTATTCTGGCTTGTTACGCTTATTACTAAAATACATTGATGATTATAATACGAGTAAAGAGAATAATACCCACCAACCCAACTAAACACGCACACAAAGTATTTAATACGTTGCCTCAGTTTTTATTTGGTAAGGGGTCATCCATTTATGACCTCCACATATTTCTTTGGATTTTGGACTCCCCCCCCCCCCGTGTGCGTCCATACTGACTATACGTTTTTGCATAATCTTCTTACACTATTACTTGAACTACTGCATTAAAGTGTGTATATACTCTGTGTGTGTATAATATTACAAATACTAGTACAAAAACGTTTTATTAATCTTCGTGTCTAGATTTACAATGGAATGTGTTTACAAAAATAAATGATGACAGCTCGTTTTATTGTAATAGCTTTTATTTTGAAAATCAAATCGATACGGATTCATTGCTAGGTTTTAAATGGTATTAAATTTTAAAAGTATTTTAGATAAATTAAAAGAATATTTTTTGTAGAAAACTATATATTTTAAATTTACAATATTTACAAAATAAACGGTCACGTGTATCAATTTTTTATACTTTTTTAAAATATTGAGGAAATAATGCTCAACATCACACAACCTACAAGCAATGAGGGTCCTGGAATACTAGCAGCCCTATTAAAGACGACTGAAGGTTACACATAGAAAAATAAGCAACAGTCTTACAAAAGGGCAGCGGCTGGCCCTAGAATAAAAATTACTTTTAAATCGATTCTTTGATAATACCATAATACATAATTTTAAAATTCAAATAAGACAAAGTATAGCTGATCCTTTAAAGAATAAATTGAAATAAAAATTGGATTTCACAATGTATTTACATTATGAAATTTTTTTTTTTCTATTTGGTAGTGTTGAACAACTAATTATATTATTTTAAAAGGCTTTTATTATTAGGAAATAATCAATTGTTTTTTATAAAAAGTGTCTAAGAAAATATGCCAAAGCCAATTAATGTAAATAATAATGAAATGATTTTTAAACACTAATTTTTAAAGAAGTTTAGCAATCCTCCCAGGGGCAGTTGAGAGTGTCAAAAATGTTAAAGACTGCAAAGCATTGGTCATCCTGCTCCTGCGTTGAACTGCTTTCTGCCTGCGCAAGCTCAAGTTCCGTGGAGGTTGTTTCTCTTCCACAGCAGCCATCGTGTCCAGTATGACGTGTTACTGCAGCTTTTGATGGCATGTACACATTACACGATTTGCAAATGCGTTTCCTCATCTCTTTAGTGACGGTTGGGCAGAACAGATCAAAAGGAACTTCTGTTTTGTAAGCTGAAACTGCTGCTGGTCTCAGATTGGTGGCAAGTCTCTGCCACAGGGTCATGAGCCTGTCATGTGGCTGTACACGAGATGGTTCGGGAACATCGACCGGATAACCATCAAACTTAATTATGCTCAAGATCTCTCCTGCTTTTTTTTTTGGAATTTTTATTTTTCTAATTCTGGATCTAAAGTTCTTCCAGGGGCATTTAAAAGGCTACCGAATGAATCATGTGTTAATATCAAGCCCGCCAGTTCCCTGCTCAGTGGGGCCATTCTTCTTTCCACATAATTGTAGGCAGACATTCCTGGCGAATGTGTCATAGCTATGTACACATCTAAATTGTACTTTCGGAACCTGTCTGCACCAACAATTAACGTTTTAGGAAAGCGTGGGTTCTAATCAGGTCCCCCATCAACGAAAGCAAGGAATATTGGCTTTATGTTGCCTTCATGGGTAGCTACCTCTTTAAAAGAATCAAAATGTAGCAAATGATCCACATCTCTCCAATGTGTAAACGCTGTGCTGCGGTCATGCTTGGCACTTCTGATGGCTATATACGTTGGCCCAGAGTGTGTTATTTCAAGCTCAAAATGCTCTGATGCTGCTTTAATTGTTCAAGCTGCATAGACAGAGGGTGTAAGCTTGTGTTTAGTAGCTAAAACAAAGTCATAGCCTGGAGGTCTGACTTCGTATTCCAGACACATCAGCAGTGGTGCTTGTTTGTTGGCTGCAGCCAGACCGATGGGGACTTTAGCCTTATCGTCATCTGGCCCAAACATAGAGGAAATACTCTTTAGGTATTCCTTTGTTGAAAATGTAAAGTTTGCGTTTTCATGCAACTTTCGCTCACTGCTTTCCGGTCGCCGTAACTTTACCTGTACTGTTTGGATATGTATTTTGCCTTCAGTATAATCATAATAATAGGCAGGGACTATAGGCAGCACCAGCAAATACGATATGGCTTGCCTGTCATCCTGCCTAGACCCATTTTGAGTGCCGTGTCTTTCCATTACATCGTGTTAATTATCTTAGATATTAAAGTGGTATAAGTAGTCAGGGTTTGGCTGCTGAACCATTGGGAACATTTCATGCTCATGTTACACTTAATTAAATTGTTGCTATTTATTTAATTCCCTTTTCTTCTCTTAGGAAAACGCTGATAATGAAGCGAAGGGCTCTTTGTCGTTAACATCACCAGAAACTACAATGTCAGGTATTAGATTGTTTGTTAGTTGGTCCATCAATAGCATTAAAATTAGAATTTTAAAAGTTCTTTTATAGATACGACGGTCTCTAATGCAAATGAAGTAAAATTCTTTTGTTAAAAATGTTGAATGAAATAAAACTGTAGTCTGCACAATTCCCATCCCCCTCATTTTCCCGTGTCCATGCTGGATAGATTTCAAAATTTTATTTTTGTTTCTATAAATATTGTTTTATTATTATGTTGGTGTCATTTGAATACAAATGTATTAGTCTGTTATAGAAAGGAAATGAAGTGCAAGCTATATAAAAAGGCGAAAAACAATTCGTCTATGAAATAGAAGTTAAATATGGTAACCATATAAAGTATTCGAAATTGAAATGTACACAGATCACGATACTGTATGCATTTTGAAGTCCGAAAACCCCATTTTGTATTCTTCTCACCCTCTCTCTTTATTTCATCTCTGTGCGTGTGTTTGTGAGAGTGTGCGGCGTGTGCATGTGCGTGCGAATGTCTGCGTGCATAATTTGACTACTGTATCAGATAGGTTGACGAAGTTTCACATATTAGTTTTGGTTGCTATAAAGGTTTCTTTATACTTTTGAGCGATTTCCAGTTAGAGGAATTTGTTATTTACTCTATGCCCAGTTTATCGAAAGACGATAACTTTTATTAGATCCGATCCGTAAGCTTCTCTTAATGTTCTGGGAAATCTTATAACTGGAGCACCGTTTGACTCTACAGGTGCTTTATTCTATTTATAATCAATTACTCAAAATATTCAGCATTAGATACATTGATATCATATTCTTAAAGAGCCCCATATTCTTAAAACTGTATACTTTTTTGTATTTTCCCAAATCGAACGGCGTTGTTCATTTCCATACCCATAGGCCTACTTTGTTGAAAGTGTCACGCAAATAGTGAAAGAAGAATGTTCTTTCATTAGTCTAGATCTAGCTATAATAAGACAAGTATATATGTAGGTCATAAACGTGTTCACCACTCCATGTGTTATTTTTTAACATTTTATTCGAGTCTACTTGGATATTTTATTTTGACTTAACACGTAAAATTCTAAAATTATAAACGTATGTATTGTTTAACGCTAAAGAGCATAGATTAAGCAAAAATGTTATATATTAACGTAATTTTAAACAATGGTTTTATTTTGCAGACGAACTAGAGCAAGCGAATGAGAACATTTATGAAATGCACTGTAACATACTTAAAAGCAATTACAAATACTTAGATGAAGAAATTGATGGGAAGTTTATAATAGATTTTCTATTATCAAAACGTATAATAAGTTTAGCTGACAAACAAGAAGTTACGGCAATAAAGAGGCGTAGAAAAAGGACCCGAGCTCTGCTGGATAAAATACTTAATGCTGGGTCAATAAGGGCGTTTCCTGAATTTATAAATTCCCTAAAGGAACATTATCCACAGGCAGCAGAAAAGCTTAGCAAAGAATTGTAAAATACATATGTTCTGTTTATCTACTTTCTACATCCTATAGCAAGAAAACTATTTTTAGATGTTTATGTATGCTCTGTTTATGTGTTTTCTACATTCTATAGAAAGAAAACTATTTTTTAGATGTTTCTGCATATTCTGTTTATGTACTTTCTACATTCTATAGCAAGAAAACTATTTTTAGATGATTATATTATTTGCCATGAGTATTTTTATTTGTAATAAAATATGTCTGTCTTTTTACACATATTTATACAATTGAATTATTTTTGTTGATGTTACAATATTAAAACTTGCTTTGTACTTAATTACCCCACTTGATTAATTTATTGTTAAACTATTCACAGCTATTTGTAAACAGTTTAGTAAAAATTTCGAAGGAATTTTTCCTTTATCCAAATGTTTTATTTTTTTTTATTTTTTCTTGTAATCAAAGACAGGAGGAAATTAAAAGTTTAAATGCACGATGCGGTCACGTCCGCTTAATAGGAAAATGTAACGGTTTCCTTTTTAACCCCATAAGGTGACATTTATGAGAATCTGATATAATTCCAGCTGCCTACAAAACCAGCGCTATTTCGATACAAAAATTCAAATTTCTGTGGCATCTGCAACTGGCCGATTTACTGTGATTATATATATATATATATATATATATATATATATATATATATATATATATATATATATATATATATATA